GTAAAAAAAAAAAAAAAAAACCATATATGATATATGTAACTAGCAAAATCACCTGGAGCCAATGTGATGATCAGTTACTAACATAAACTGAATTTTTCTTGCAATGTTCAATTTGCATGCACCTAATTTAGTGAAGGAATCTTCCTTTTAAACTAGGGAAAATGGTTGGAAGTGACGAAAGTAATGGAACCCATTGTTCGATGGTTAGGGCTATTTGTGGTTTGGTCCAAAGAGAGTGGACCGTGAAAATCCAACATGTGCATCGAGAAGCAAATTTCGCCGCAAACTTCATAGCGGGGCTAGCGGCATCTTGTCCGGTTGGAATTCAGAGAGTTACCTCGCCCCCTAGTGGAATGGGAGTTTGGCTAGAGCATCATGATCTCATAGGGGTGTCATACTCACGTCGAGTCCTAGCCTAGGCTTCGACCTCTTTCATTGTACCGAAAAAAAAAAAAAAAAAAACTAGGGAACTCACATGCATTTTTCTCCATTTTATTTTATTTTATTTTCTCTATAAATACCCTTTATAACACAACACAACAAAGAGCTACAACTCATCACAAAGCCCCTCTCTTTGCTTCATTATAGCTCATTTTCTCTCTTTCCAATATTTTTTCCACTTCCTTATTAGAGTACAAACTAATAAAAGTCTCATAAAAATGGCCAAAACCTTTGTTTATTTGGTATTAGTCTTTATTATCCTATCAAACAATGTCTTTCATATCACGGGTCGAAATTTGAGAGTTGGAAAAGACTCGAATAGTGGCCAAGGTAAGTACGTGACTACTTTCCCAAGCCCAGATGAGTCTGGTGGGCACAAAGTTACACCTGATCAAGAACACTCAAATGCTTTCTGGTTGGGCTCGAGTCCCGGTTTAGGTCACTCGTCCGAAGGGAAAAGCGTTAAAGTTGATGAAGAAAATGTTAATGCTTTTCGAAGTACGAACCCGGGTCCTAGTCCGGGAATAGGTCATTCTATAATCAATGGTCAATAAAAAAAAATTTGTCTTTTTGTTTTTTATGTAATATATATATGCTTGAAGACAACAAATATTGTGTTGTTAGTGAAGAATATATAACGTGATTTTGTTTAACTTTATGCATGTATATTGTAAATCTCACATATTTCATAGATATTATTATCATCATTGTTCGAATTATAGTATTACCAAGTTGTTATTAATTGTTATGTGGTTCGTTACATGTAGTTATATGTATAAGGTGTTGAACTTTTATTATAATGGGGGAAAGAGAGCGCGGTCCCACCAAGTGAAGCACACCATAAAAAGGTGAATTTAGGTGCACTTTAGTGAGGTTTCATTCCAAAACCAATTAACGATGGAAGGAGCAACCCATTAGGCTTATAAACTATGTTCATTTACCCTATCAAATCAATGTGTGACGACTCACAAATGATATTCCAACACACACTTAATGCCCAATTGACGTACAATTTACCAGTAAATTGCAATCTATTATCTTAATTTGCTGGCGAAAACGTCGAAATTTGGTAAATTCTATGTCGAGGTATGAAGTGCGTGATTTTTCAATTTAATATCCTAACTAACAAAACAAAAAGATGGAGTTCATAATTGTTACATATCATCGGGAAATGCTCCGGTCCCGTTACAGTACCATCCCTTCGGGTGTTTTAACCGTTGGACCTACATGTATTTAAATAAGATAGATGATCCAACGGTTAAAATATTCAACGAGATGGTGCCGTAACGGGACCATAGCATTCCCCATATCATAAGTCGTTACATGACACAAGATACAATTTTGTCTCATTAATTTCCAGGTTAACAACGTAATTAATGATCTTTAATTGTAAGCACGTGATAATTTCGACCTGGAAGTCAATTGAACTAATACATTTCAGTCATTTGTGAACTACTAGTAGTCGACCTGTGCATTTGCACAAATATAAATATAGTATTATAAGTTATTAATGATTAATAATTTTTCTTGCACTTTTCGCAGGCCAAATTTACATTTAAAAGAGCTGGAATATTTATTTTTTTAAATTGCGTTTATCATATTGGATGTAATGTATATTTTGGTATGTATTTTTTTTGTGAATTATTTATTATTTATTTATGAATTTCAAATACGTTTTTTATTTTCCAAAGAAGTTAATTTAAATTGTAACCACAACAATAACATCTAAACACGTTATATAATCAACACTTATATGGTCAGCTGTAGCTGTAAGTAAATCAAAAGTTTAAAATGATTTTTGTATTTTGAAGTGATTAGTGTGTTGATTATCTAATAATTAAATGAGAGGTTAAATAAATAAAAAGTAACGGTTTTTGGAGGGAAAATGAAATTTTGCCACATAGGTATAATTTAATAAGTTTTATTAAATGCTCATTAGCCAGCAATTATATATATATAGATTTTAAAAATATATATGTCATAAATATTTTAATTACTACTAACCTCCATATTCATAATTACTTTTGTACGTGTTTTAAATAATTTTCTAGGTAGTTTTGGGACGACACACTAAAATAATTATTTAATAATATCTATGTTAACTGAATTTTTTTACTTGATAAGCATTTATAAAGTGCTGTATATATGTTAAACTTTATATTCATTCATTCATTCATTATTTTTCAAACATCTAATCATGAAATCTTTCACCAACCGAGGAACAAAACAAAAACATATCGTATTGGAATCTGAAGTGAAAAATATTGTTATTGTCTGGGATTTTTGAACTTTATCACTTTTATTTTTATTTTATTTTTTTTCTATTTTTGGTTATTTTCTGCAATTAGGAAAATTTAAATCATTTCCATATGTAGTGTAGAGTTGTTGGCACAACAAATAAATAAAGTTGGTTTAAGTAGAGCCCAACAACTAAGGGCTTGATTGATTGTTTATGAAATAATTTGTTCAAAATGAATTATTTTGATTAACCATAATTAATTTTGAAAAGGTAGTATGATTAGTTGTTAGTGGAATTTTAAGAATGCATTAAAATAATATTTAAAAATAAAACGATTAAAATTTATTTGATGTAAAAGTAAGAGATAAATGATTGGAAATGATAGGTAGTTAAAAATATGTGAGTGGATAAATAGTGAATTAAAATTGATATGATGTGTAAGAATGATTGATTTGTACTATTTAATTATATGAATAATATTAAAGATAATGGATTAATTAAAGTTGAATTAAATTTTGAGTTAGACATGAAAGCAAGTAAATTAATCTATAAACAAGCAAACCCTAACTAACTACAAAATCCAGATATAGGACGATGTATAATATTTTCACCGTAAAGAAGCAAATTAAGAATGAAATTGAGTAGTGATCAAGAATTTGTTACAGAAAAAAAAAAAAAGCAAAAAATTTATTCCAACATTGAAGCAAGAAATCGAATATGCCCGTCACATAAAATTCCCTGCACATTTCCAGCGTCACCTTCAATAATTCATAATCATGGGAAAATCGAAGAAAAAGCTCCGTTACCGGAAATTGCCGGAGGAGGAGTGCTCGGACGAACACGATGATATCTCCCTAGAGGGCTCGGACGAAGAGCAGCTAAGCGTAGATGAACCGGCAATGGAAGCTTGTAAAATGACTAGTGATGAAATAAATGATGAAACTAATGTGGACTTAGTTGCTAATGATGATGTTAGTGAGGATATAGCTGCAGCCGAACAGGTGGGGCAAGAGAAGAAACAAAATCAAGGCACGACTTAACCATCAAAAACCGCTAACAAGGTGTTTGACAAAATGACACAAAGGAATCCCGACTCACGACCAACCGAAAGTCCTCGCTTGGCCTCAAATTAAACTACATTCACTGGACAATGGAATGGACCTTGATGACGACGACCTATTGGATGTGACGACCACATGGGGCTTTTGCCTTGTCGGGTTACTTTACCCAAAGGCACCCGGGCAAAGAGGCATTGTTGAAGCTATGCAACTCGTGGGAAGTCCAATACGACTATATCCCCAACGTTAATGGATGGATTGTCTTCAAATTCCGAAACGAAGAAGATAGAGATAAGGTTCTCCGCGGGGGCCCCTGCTCCATCTACGGCCGAGGGCTCATCCTCAAAGTGCTTCCCAATTGGTTCCAGTTCGGCGAAGACGTCATAAAAACCGTCCCCGTTTGGATCAATCTCCCACTCCTCTCATGGCAATGTTGGAGCCCCAATGCTCTTAGCAAGATTGCCTCTTAATTCGATAGACCATCACAATCGACAAACTCACGGCTACCCGCAACCGGTGCAACTATGCTCGGATTTTGGTGGAGCTTACCTCTCCAAAGAAAGAGTTTATAGCATCCCCGTCAAATCCAAAGGGAAGTTCTTATTCGATCAAAAGGTAGAATATGAGTATGTCCCGCACTATTGCAATCATTGCAAATTCAGTGGATACTCTACCTTCAATTGTGGGAAACACAAAGCCCACCTCGAGGAAAAGGCCAAAGGCAAGAAACCGGCCGGACAAGGTGAGACCTTGGTGACTACCAAGAAAGTGATAGAACACCAAGAAAAAGAAAAGGTGCAACCGAGCAAGAAGAGGGGTGACATCAACAAAGAGCAAGGAGAGAACCATAATACCAAAGAGGTGGGGGTTGTGGAGAAACAACAAAATAAAGGAGACGAAGAGGAGGGGAATGGGGATTGTGTGAGAAAAGAGACGGTGCCCATTACATCGGATGCCGGTTCTTCCTCATCTCCACCCCGGGACTCGGAACTCCTAAACTTTGAGACCCCTCCTCGGGATAATGAAGATGATTCCTTCCAAGTGGTAGGAAAGTACAACAAGATTCTCACTCAAAGTGGAGCCGCGAGCCAAGCCGCCACAACTTCCGGTCCACACTCCAAGCTTAGAGACAAACCAAGTGGGAGGAAAGATGTGGGCAAGGGAAATTCGGTGAAAAGGGGGGTCACCTTACCTCTTCCCAATGATTATCGCCTCATGGAACATTAGGGGCTTTAACGGGCCCCTAAAACAAGATGAGGTGGAAAACCTCATCCAGAGAAATAACATTGATGTTTTGGGACTTTTGGAAACGAAAACCGACACTAGACGACTATCTCTCTTTGTGAATAGAAGATTGTCGGGTTGGGTTTTTTGCGAGAATTTTGACGTTGTTGACCGGAGGCGCATCGCCATCCTATGGAACCCCATGAAGGTTGACATTACGATGGAGGCCGCCTTGTCTCAAGTCATTTTTGCAAACATCCGTTGTAAGGTTAGCAACCATTCGTTTATTGCTAGCTTTATGCATGGACTTCACTCGAGAGGAGACCGGAAATTGTTGTGGAATGACCTTAGGGGCTATCGGGGGAGGATCTCCTTACTTTGGTTGCTTCTCGGGGACTTCATTGCTATCCTCAAATCGGGGGAGAGAATTAAGGGGGAGAGGATCACTAACCGGGACACCATGGACCTTTTGGGAGTTTGTGATGACTTGGGATTGTCGGACATCCCCTCTAGCGGTTTCTTCCACACTTGGACCAACAATCATGTTTGGTCGAAGCTTGATAGGGCAATGCTGGATATTCAATGGGAGAATGTCGATCTATTCTCGCATGCGACCTTCCTAGCTCTGAGTATTTCGAATCACTCTCCGTGCATAGTTACTATATTTGAGGCGAGGAACACTACCGGATCACCATGGCGGTTCTTTAATATGTGGACGACCCACGAGAAGTTTTTTTCGAGTGTTCAAAACAATTTGAATTATGGTGGCGGGGGCTCGAGGCAATTTCGTCTTGCGACTAACTTGACGAACCTTAAAAGCTCGCTTAAGGCTCTTAATGAGGAGGCCTTCTTCCATATATCCTCCCGGGCTAAAGAAGCAAAGAATGCCCTCAAGATAGCACAACAAATGCTCCATGATCAACTCGACGACCCCGAAACCACGGCCAAGATGCCTTCACTTAGACTCGAAGCTCTTAAATTGGCGAAAGCGGAGAAGCTCTTTTATCAACAAAACGCCAAATGCAATTTTGAA